GGCGTGCACTGCGCACATCTACGCACACGACTGCGGCACTGCAGGGGCTTAACTGCTGAGTACTTGGCACGCGTGCGCGTTACTGGGCACGCGGACGCGGCCTGCGTACTCGCTGGGCCTGCCGGGTGCGCCCGCGCGCACGCTGTGCGCGGTAGGCATCACGGTCGGTATTTCGCCAGCCGTCCGGCTACTTTTTCCGGCAATTCACATATGACTGATCATGTTTTGACTTAAAATGACTGGAAATACATAGATTACTCGGGACTTGCCGGTTCTAATTTTGAAATCACTCGGAGATGGCTTATATAGCACCTCCGAGGCTATTTTGCACTAAAACATAAACCGAACGATCTGATTTCAACATGACTTCGACATGATCTTATTAACATGAACTTAACTACATAAAAAGAGGGTAAAGGAATGTATACCCTTCAGTTCGGTCGAGAAATATTCGGTGATGTGCGTGCGTGTATGGTGCTTGAGCGTGTGCGTGCGTACTTCCCTTGTGCTTCCGCCTTCCTTAGCTATTTTTGTATAATTTTCTCACAATATTTCCTTACTATTTCTCTCTCTATTACTTGCTAAAGAGGACTCGATTTTGCATGAAGAAAATGCATGGAAAATCACTTACACGTACGGTAATTTAAAGAAGGTGAAAGTCGAGAGTGAAATTTGGGTCAAGGAGGTGATTGATGATGCATTCGTCCCTTGACGCCAAGTGTTCCATACATGTGCTGAGGTGGGACATTTTTCCTTAGTCATAGCCGAGGTGTCAAGCATGCACGGGCTTAGTCATCGCCCGTGCGTCCGTGTCACGCCATGTGTGCAAGCTACTAGGTGAGTCACCCTTGCTACTTGCACTCCAACCTCATCTCTTGGTAATTCCTCACGGCTATTCAAAGGGAAAAGGATTTGGATTACTTAACCTTGATCATAGTGCTAAGCATCACATAAGCATGCGCTTAGTAGCTTAATGATGCGCGCGTTATGCGCTGCGCGCGTTTACGTGCGTGGCTGTATGCACGGCATGCGTGCACAAGTGCGTACATAGTGTACCTTGTACATTTATGCCTTAACTTGATTTTTAACTTTGAAACTAAATCCGAACATTCTTAACTTTCAATAATTAATCCCGATTAATAATGTCCGTTTACAAAATAAATGGTTCGGAAATAAATTATCGAATTTGACTCGGTTAATAATTAACCGGATAAACTTTTCGACTTAACGTCGAACATATTTGCTGAAAATGAACGGAATTAATAAAGGATAATACATCATTTTCTATTAACAAGAAGTTGGGTTATTACAATCTACCTCCCTTGAAATATTTCCGTCCTCGGAAATATAAAACAAAACATATATATACATGAAAGTTTTATACATCAAAACTGAAAATCGGGAAAACGAGTGCGAATGTCAGACTTCTGCTCCCAAGTGGCTCCGTGGCGATCCCACTGAATACGAACGAGGGAAACATCACGCTTCCAGATTCGTCGAACCTGTCGGTCCAATACAGCTATCGGTCGCTCCTCGTAAGATAAGTCTGGATGAATCTCAATATCAGTATGAGGAATGACATGATCAGGGTCGCACACGTACTTGCGTAACATAGATACATGAAAGACATTATGAACACTGGATAACTCGGGAGGTAAGGTTAAATGATACGCAACATCGCCCACTCGCTCGAGTACTTCGAACGGGCCAATAAACCGAGGGTGTAACTTCCCTTTCTTCCTGAATCGAAC